AATAATCAATAATTATAATCAAATGACTGTTTATCCTTTTCACGTGCAGTTTATGCAAAGGCAGAAGCATTATGCAAAGAATATGGAGAAACCAAAGGCCCTGGACCAACAGTCAAACCTTCAGGACACTTGTTCTTTAGGAAACTTGGAAATCTTGTGAAGAACACCCTTGAAAAATGTCAGAGAGAAAATGGATTTATGTGAGTACAGCTCAGTATGATTTTAGTAGTCGGTATACTATTTGCAGTTGGCCCTCTGTAATCTGTGGGTTCCACATCCACAATTCAACCAACCGCAGATTGAAAATATATGGGGGGGCAGGGAGGGGGGATTCTAGAAAGCCCTTAAAAGCAAAACTTCAATTTGCTGCAGGCCAGCAACTATTTACATAGCATTTACATTCTATTAGGTATTATAAGTAACCTAGAGATGATTTAAAGTTTACGGGAGGATGTGCGTAGGTTATATGCAAATACTACTTCACTTTACGTAAGGGACTTAAGCATCTCTGGATTTTGGTATCTGCCGGGGTCCCAGAACCAATCCGCCGAAGATACCAAGGGACGAACATATTTATAATGTTTAAATAATAATATTGTTTCAATAATATCACAGTTTGTTAGTCTCTATTCCCATACATTTTATATCAAGTTGCATTGAAGTTGAGCATTAATTTTCTATTTAAATTGGTGATAGAATTCACTTGTGTTAGACCTAACTTTTATTCTGCTTTTGATGATAACTTATAAAAGCAGGTTTAAAAATTCAAACATGAATTATTAACATATAGCCCACTTCTACTGTCCTAACTTTCTCTTACCTTTGTTTCCCTGCCATTCTTTCTCTGTGTGTTATATATACATACCTTCTCTTGGCATACTCATCTCATTCTCTTTTCAGCCACGTATAAAGCAGGGAACTTCATTTTCTGTCAGTTCTGTTTAGGCCTGTCAAGCAGTTTTCCATTATTAAATCGGTGTTGTTCAAACTGTAGATCAGTACCTATGGAGGTTGTAGAATTAATTTTGTCCCTGCTTTTTGTCTTGCATTCTTCCCTTTATATTCTGCATCTGGTCATGCTGTGCTTTCACATTCTTGAACGTGCCCAGTTTAACTTTTATCACTTCCTTTGGAAAGCATCCCTGACCCCCCAAATCTGCCCCTCTTTTAATTGCCCCTCTTTTGTGTTCTCACGGCACTCCACATCCCTCATAGCTTCAGTTACATTGCACAGTTGTTGACAGGGTTTCTTGACTTTGTCACCTACTCATCTGTAAACTACGTGAGACAGGAAATTGTTCTGTATGTAATTCATCATTAAATTGTCATTTCCTTGCACAAGGTCTTGGACATAAATAGACACTCAAATAGTTAACAAATAACTGAATGAATTGCTGTTTCCATTGCTTTTTGCAGTTACTTTCAAAAAGTTCCAACAGAAGCCCCACAACTGGAACTCAAAGCAGTTTATGGTCTCGTAGAGCCTGTACCTTTCGAATTTCCTCCTACAAGTGTGCACTGGACACCAGAAACGTTGGCTGCTTTTGATCTCACCCAAAGACCCAAGGATGACAGTGTACGGGATTGGGTTTTTTCCATTCATTCACAAAAATTTCAAAAGAGAATTCAAACTTCACAGTTTGATATTGTCCTCTATTTAAATAGATGCATGTATTTGTCTAAATGTTAAATTAGCTAATTACAGTGCTTGGTGTAAAATCTGAACTCTTTCAGAGGTAAACCTCTAGGCGCTAATTGTCTTCTGATTTTTTTACATAGTTGACTGATGTTGTTTTCAACACATTATCTTGCCTTTTTACAATTCGTCAGAGCCTCCTTTAAGAATATTGTGGGAGGACAGGTCTAAAAAGGATGGCTCATCCATGTTTATATTGCTATAGCAATGCTGTTTTTGATTCAGCATAGTGCATGGTATTTGAAGATTTGACCTAATTTCAACATTCTGTGACATCATCCAGGGGTAAAATTAGACTGCTTTTATTCATTTGTATCTAAGTACATCTTAGTGTACTAAACCAAATGGTAGATTAAGTGGAAATTTTGAGGTTTAGCTACCAAAAGAGAGGGGGTCTGTGAAAAAGGGGGTGGGAATTATTTTGTAGCCATAGCTGCTTCCTTGAAATTTTTTTTTTTATATAATTTCCTACCCATACTAAAACCATTATTCCTTAAAATAACAGTTTTTGCATCCTGTTCAGCATCTTAAATAATGTCCTAAGAGGTAGCCTGTTACTGTCACAAGTAATCTTCAAACTTGAGGGTTCCATGTGCACAGGTTGATGGCTCAGTTTCTCCCTCCTCAGAAAGAGTAAGAGTACCATTAGCTTGATTTTTGCCTACCCATCAGGTTTTCGTCTTCACTGAAATGTTGCTTTCCTGTTATGTCTTTAATTGAATTGGTTTGTATGTAGCTTCTGGCACAGCTTTGTTAGTCTCTGTGCTGTGTATTTTAGTATATCATCTTTATATTAGTCTGAAGTGGAATAGATCTAGTGTTCGTTTTCCGGATCTTAGTTTATGTACTTACACTGTATTTTTCTTTCTCCATAGGCTAAACCCAAACCAGAAGAAGTGGTGAAACCTGTGAAAGAACCAGATATCAAACCTCAGAAGGACACTGGGTGCTACATCTCCTAAAATACATTGATACAGTGTGCACTTTGAATTTTCTTCCAGATAAGATAAACCATGGAACTTCATCTTTCTTGAAATGATTTCTCTGAAGCTTATAGATTAATTTAGTACATTCAGAGGGAATCTGCCTTCAGTTTATTTGTTCTTGATTTTTAACACAGTGGAAGTGTTTCATGCTTTGTTTCTGAACTCCTTTTTAATCAGGACAACCTGTGAAAAATTTTTATTGTGCTTCTAAAGGGCATATTTGGGGGTTGGGTTTTTCTTCCTGAACTCTGGGTAGTAGTAAGTTTCAGGTTAATACACTGTAGGCCAGAATCATGTGGTTTCAGATGTGTTTTTCTATCTTCACAAAAAAAAGTTTATTTTCCTTCCTCTTATTTGATACCAGAAGAATGACAGGAGTCAGTTTTTAACAGACAAGGTTTTTTACCCCTCTCCGTTATGTCAGTTGTAGCACAGACTTGTTATCTTCTGTGTCAGTTACCTTTTCTGGTTGGGGGAAAAAAAATCACTTTTAGTTAAAGATAAAAAATCTTCATACCAAATCCCTTATACATGTTAGAATCTATAATTTACTTAGAAATCAGTGTTTATAGGTACGTTGAGACCATTTAAGAGCTTACTTTTATGCTGATAGCCCTGTACTTCATTTCAATCTCAGTAAGCAAACCTACAATATTTTTTAAAGTACTTTTTTCTAATGGATTTTTTACTTAGGGGACAGAACTTGGTAACAGCTCTTAGTATTTGTGTGAGAAGACAGAGTGAAAATGTTTTTGCAGAAGTCAAATAATGCATGATGAAAAGAAAGAACTTTAAGCCTAAACAAGATCGGTTGTCCTGAATTACACTGGTAAATCTCTACTACTTTGTTACAGAAGTTAGAGTAAAATGCCTTTGTTAACCTGATTTCAGTGTACATGGTTTTTATATAGTTTTCTAATAACACTTATCCTGTCAGAATTGTATTGCTTTAGGCCAAAGGCCATAGCAGAAACTTAGAGAGCAAACAGGTACAGTATATCTTAAAAATACCTTGTAATATTTGAAATAGTTTAGTATATACACAAACCTGGGAAATAGTGGATACATAATACTTTAATTAAAAAAATCACACATGTAGGTTTATCTTCTTTTGATTATTCTCCTGGGGCATCACCTAATTTTTCTCTTATAAATGACAGATTGGTTCAAATAATAGAAGTAGTAATAGTAGGGTATGTTGAGAGCTTACTTTGTGCCAGGCACTGTGCTGAGCACTTACATAGATAAACCTTTGAATCCACACAGCAATTCTGTGACAAATAAGTAAAATCTGCATAAAGTATTGAGATAGGAATAAACATTTCATAATGAAAAATAGATTATACCTATCTGAATATTGTGTTAAAATAAATGATTACTTAAATCATAGTTTATACTCATGGGAAAAAAGCTACATAGAATCAGTGAGGTTTTTTTTTTTTAATGTATGGAAATGCTAATTACTCCTTGCTATATAACATTTAATATTTGAAGCTGCAGTTTTCAGAATCAGTGGAGTAATAACTGAACAGACATTTATTTTGTTGTTTATAGAAAAAACACTTTAATTTCCCTGTATTTTTGTGCTCTATGCCATTTACTGACAAAACTTTAAACCGTACTTGATGTAAGCTTATTACTCTTGGCCTGTAAGATCTATTTATTTTAGAAACTAGTGCTTATTAGTTACTAAGTTTTCACATTTGAAAATTTAGTAACTAGGCTAAATTTATTGACACAATATGTGTCAATTTCACATATTGACATTTTTATGGGTCATACTTCCATATATGGAATGAAAACATGTAATATGCTCAGTGCTTCTGTAAAGTGCAGTAAATACTGGTGTTACATTTAATCAATAATTGGCAACTTTAAGATAAACAGATAGTAAATATTCTGTTGACCCAGCAAAGGTGACACTTTGACTAACTATCCCATTATATATAATATTCTTTGAAATCGTCTTCGAAATTTGGGGAAGTGAATAAATGTAAAGAAATTGCATGAATGTCATAGATGTAATAACTATTTGTGTTAACTATTGCATACTTAGTTTAAACCAGATAATGACAACTAACATATCCTGCTAAAAGTGTTGTTAATATACTGAATTATCTATTTATGAAAATAAAAGTGATTCTACTTCCAGTTTCATTGGAATTTTTGTTTTTCAATAAATATTTTTATGTTTATTAAGCCAGTAACAAGGTTAATACATGTAAAATCGTATTTCTTCACAGTTGTATTTTAAAATGACAGATGCATTTGCATCGGTTGTTTTATGCTACATGAATTCATTGAACACTCAACGCTCCTTGACCTATTTGGTTTCTACTTATGCTTATTGGTACTTACCACCTTTTAATCTGGAAGTAGGGTTTCAGTCAGCCTGCATATATTTTTATTCACAGTATTATCCAGCATGCTGCAGTCTTGTATACGGTGGTGAGCTAAGCTAGAGACCTCATCGTTATTGCTGTGCAGTACTCTGCAGAAAACTTTGTACTTTGGAAACTTTGAGGTAGCATTTTCAGTACTATATAAATGTACTCAAATAAAATCATATTCAGAAGTATTTCCTTCTAGAGTAATCATGCTTTAGAAAACGAGGCATTTTTTGTCTCGATATGTGCGTAAAAATAAACTTGTGTCATTTGGTTTACTATACTTTTGTATCTAAAGACTTTAATCTGATATTTGAGTAATTTGCTTCGAATTTACATTCTTGTTTTAAAAAATGTTTTTGTAGTAAACTAAAGGGATTAAAATAGTTAATCTGGAGGGGGCGCCTACTCTGAATTATAGAACAGAAAGTGGTGTTGGATTGTATTTACCCAAAAGGCCAGAGCTATCGCTTATGCGATTCAGCATATCTGATGACTGTGATGTGCTTGAGGTGGGTGTAAGCTCATAGCTCCCTCTAAGAGTGCTCCCCAGAGAAAACGTTAGATCACCCAGCGGCTTGATATTGTCCAGAGCTTCTCTGGTCGTTTGCCTCAAGCTATTGATCTCAGCCTTCTGGGGCTGACTGGGCAGGGACTAAGGTGGCTGGAGCTCCCAGGCTGGTCACCTCCAGAATGTCAATGAATTTCCTAGATCATCTGCTATGATGTAGGAAAAGTTGAGAAACACCCCAATAGGACAGGCATGTCAGTAATGTCACTCTTACCCCTGGTGGCTGGGTGCCTGTTTATGGTCTAATACTGAAAATAAAGGTAGAAGAGTCTGGCCAGGTGATGTTCTGTCAGCATTTCTCAAGGAGGAGCAGTGGTTTGTTTATACATGTGTTTGTTTATTCAGATTTCACATATGTCCTCCACAGAATGCCTCACTCTGCCTGCCTGGGGTGAGTCACCAGTTGGAGTGGGCCCATCTCCTCAGGTGAAATGGCGTGGAGAAACTGGCAGTGAATGCTGTGCTGTGAAGGTGTGAAGTGGGGCTTTGGCTGTCCCATCCTTGCTTTTACCAGAGGCTCAGCCTTCAGACGCCCTCAGGGGAAGAGGGAAAGGGAGGAGGGGGCACCGCAGGCCCAGGCAAACAAGGCTGACGCACTCTTGGTAGTTACCCAGGGCCCGTTCCGTTAACCTGGTTCATTTGAAAAAAAAAACTTTTTTTTTTGATTAATGAAAACTGGAAGAACTTTAGGAAATTTGAGGTATTATACCTTACCAAAGTTAAATGCCAAGATGTAGAACTAGTGTGTTATTTTGTTGATAGAGCTGACAGTGCTGTGTTTCAGTGAGGGAGTTAATTGAAATGATGAGTGTGTAAGTGTAATGAAAAAATATTATAAGGTAGCCATTTTAACATCAGGAAGTAAACACAATTATAAGACTGTTCTCTTTATTTTTCCAATCTATTATATAGTACCTTCCCCCACCCATTGAAGTGAACTGACCGTATGATTCATTTATTAAACAAATACTGAGTTCCAGCTGTGTCAGGTACTGTAGTGGCAGGAGGTAAATAAGGCAGGGAGCACACAGGTAAAACCCCTTCCACCCTGGCTGGTGGGCGGGGCAGAGAAGGAAGGGAAGAGGGAAACAAAAACAGGATAAGTGAAATATAGATTGTGTTCAATGTTGATAAGTACTAAGGAGACAAAACAATGACGTAAGCTGTCGAGTGGTGGTGGTGGTGAACGAAGTCAGCTGGTTCTTTGAACGACTGGAGCCCCGGGAAGACCTCGAGCCAAAGACCTGAAGGAAGTGAGGGAACAAAGTCTAAGGGAAGACAGACTCATCCAGAGAACAGCCCGCACAAGGTCCCTGCAGGGCAGAGAGCCTGTGTGGTCACGGAAAGGCAGTAAGAGGGCCAGTGGCTGGAATGAGACAGGGGCAGCTCAGGGGGAAGGTATCAGTAGAACAAAATGGGGCCAGAAAAGTACTGGGGCCAGATCTACAACCCTGTAGGCCATTGTAAGGACTTTGGCTTTTACTCAGGGTGAGACGAGAACCCACTGGAGAGTTTTAAGTAGAGAAGTGACATGGTATGATTTAACATTTAACAACTCTGACTGCTTTTTTGAGTGTAGATGGTAGGAAGCCAATTAGCAGACTGCTGCAATAATCCAGGTGACAGATGATGGCTTAGACCAGCGTGGTGGCAGTGGAATGGTGGTATTAAGACTCTGGCAATAACCCAGAGAACTTCCTGTTGGATTTGATGTGAGGTGTGATTAAAGGAGAAGAATCAAGAATGTCTCCAATGTTTTTGGCCTGAGGATCTGGAAGAATAGGGTTGCCATTTATTGAAATGGGAAGACTGCCAGAGGAGTAGATGTGACTGTGTGAGTGGGAGCTGGGTGAGTGGGTGGGGTAGTTTCAGGAAGGAGAAGGGTGTACTGAAAGTATGAGCAAAAGGTTTAGACATGGATTGAGTTGTCTGTTAGCCGTCCAAAAAGAGACGTCAAGAAGAGACTTCAGGGCTTCCCTGGTGGCGCAGTGGTTGGGGGTCTGCCTGCCGATGCAGGGGGCACGGGTTCGTGCCCCGGTCCGGGAGGATCCCACATGTCGCGGAGCGGCTGGGCCCGTGGGCCATGGCCGCTGAGCCTGCGTGTCCGGAGCCTGTGCTCTGCAACGTGAGAGGCCTGCGTACCGAAAAAAAAAAAAAAAAAAAAAAAAGAGACTTAAAGTAGACGGTAGATCTATGCATCTGAGATTCAGGGAGATAAAAATGTTGGCTATAAATGTGTGTGTAGATAGTATTTAAAGCCATAGGGCTGGGACTTCCCTGATGGCACAGTGGTTAAGAATCTGCCCGCCAATGCGGGGGACACGGGTTCAAGCCCTGGTCCAGGAAAATCCCACATGCTGCAGAGCACCTAAGCCCTCGCACCACAACTACTGAAGCCCGTGCTCCACAAGAGAAGCCCCTGCTCGCCACAACTAGAGAAAGCTTGCACGCAGCAACAAAGACCCAATGCAGCCAAAAATAAAAAAATAACTTTATTAAAAAAAAAAAAAAAAGCCATAGGGCCAAATGAGGAGCTGAGCCCTGGTGTACTCCAATATTGAAAGGTCAGGGAGATTATACGGTATGTTAATTACATTATATACTTGGGAACAATCCTTGATAAACTAGATTTGGGTTTTTAAAGAAAAAACTAGAGGTTCTCCTACGAATTAAACTGAGGTACAAAGCATGTTGTGGGGAATACTTGACCCTCTGAAATATCACTTCCAAAACATCCCAGTCTAGGTACTTGGTGTGAAGTTGGCAACGCTCGCAAGATTTTGGTAAATAAAAAATAAGTAGATTCCACGCAGTTCAGTATTGAGCCCCCTCTATATTGACACACACTGTGATTACAAAGATGAATTTTGCATAGCATATCCTGAAATGTCCATTAGGTGGCAGAAAAGCATTCACTAAATCGACTGTAAGCCAGGTAGGTCTCTGAGCCAGGTGAATGGGGGCTTGGGGTACTTCATTTGGTTCAGAAATGTATGACTTGGGAGATGGTCTGGAAAGGAGTAAATTGACTATAATGAGACTGTTAGGCCTTATTCTTAAACTTTTGATGTGTAAGCTTTTCAGCTGGGGGCAAAGCAGGGAGGCCTCAGAAAGTAGAAAGCAAAATAAATCCTCCTGTAAGAAAATAAGCAAGACTTCTTAGCCCAAGCTTGGCTATTGGAGCTTTCTGCAGTACACCACATGACTAAATCACAAGTCTGTTCAATTCAAATTTATTTACTTTTGGCTGTGTTGGGTCTTCGTTGCTGCACGCGGGCTTTCTCTAGTTGTGGCGAGCGGGGGGCTACTCTTCGCCGCGGTGTGCTAGCTTCTCATTGTGGTGGCTTCTCTTGTTGCGGAGCACGGGCTCTAGGCACGCGAGCTCAGTAGTTGTGACTCGGGGGCTCTAGAGCGCAGGCTCAGTAGTTGTGGTGCACGGGGCTTAGTTGCTCCAGGGTATGTGGGATCTTCCCAGACCAGGGCTCGAACCCATGTCCCCTACATTGGCAGGAGGATTCTTAACCACTGCGCCACCAGGGAAATCCCACAAGTCTGTTCAATTTAGAAGTCATATTTCTTCCTGCTCTCCTTAAGGCACTGGTCCCCAAACTGGCCTGCCCATTGCAATCACCAGGGAAGCCTCAAAAATAATTGAGGCCCATGTCCCACCCCAATAGACTATGGGTCTTGGGTGTGTCCTGGCCTTGGAATTTTAAAAAAGGACTCCCAGGTAATCCTAACATGAAGACAAGTTTGAGGGCCCCTGGGTTTATTTAATGCTGCACGTGTAAACATAACTCACCTTCCCACAACTCAAATTCGTTCCGCCCTATAGGACACACGCAAGAGAACCTTTCCACGTCAGCACAAAGGCTAGTTGTATTAATTTGTCATCTACCGAACAAATTCTAACACCAAATTTTGCACTACTTTCAAAACCAAAGCCAATTAAAGCAATGAAAGAAAAAGCAGAGGAATAATGGTGAGTTGTTTTTTGAAAATGTTTTTATTTTCTTCTGATTGTTATAGAGCATATTTTATTTCTCATGGCATTGAAAATATTTACTTTTGCAATACTGTTATACCCGGCATATTTTAAACACCAAGTTAAGATCTTTTTTTTTTTTTTTCTGCTCTTTGGCATCAGAAACTAAGTAGTTCTAGTTTACTTCTCACCAAATAGTTTTAGTTTACTTCTCACCAAGGTTCTTTTGTGATACACTGCCACTAAGTCAGTCAGGGAAAACCATGAATATATCATTTAAGACTCCTCAGGGGACCCTGGGCTGAGAAGGTCTCACATCACCTTGCTTTGGATAACAAATTTAACCCTTGACAGGCTTTTTGTAACTCTGACCTTTAACAATGGCATTGTACAAATAAGATTTGGTGACTGATTTATGCATACATAAACGTATGTATGTATGAATATATATTTATATGTATATTCAATCCTGTGTTTATTGCCCATAAAACTTTTAAAAAGTCAATCTGCTGGTCTTCATTTTGATAGATGGCTGATAATTGATTCACTCATATGTATTATGATTACTGACTTATTTGGAATTATTTCTAATATTTTATTGGTGTTTTCATTAATCATGCTTTTCCTTTGCTCTCTTTATCCCCTTTTTCCTGCCTTCTGTTGGAGCGTTTATTTCCTTTTTTTTTTTCTTCTACTGCTTTTGAAGCCATACATTCTAATTCCATTATTTTGCTAGTCACCTTTAAATTGTCAGCATGCATACTTATCCTCTCCAAAGTATTCCAAAACAATACTTAAAGAGGTCAACCCCTCATATTTTTGTTATTGTTAGCTAATACTTAATACTTCTTTGTTTTTATACTGTGCCCTACCAAAGTAGTGTTTTTAAGAGTCACTATTAAGAGTTTCACTTTGTTTACTTGTTCATTTACATTTGTTTCTTGCATCTCACTCTTACTTCTGCGTTCACTTTCCTTCTATTTGACACAGCATATTATATTATTCATCGTTCAGTGAAGATGCAGGAATGCTTAACCCAGTTTCTGTAGGTCGTAAAATGTCATTGTTTTACTCTCAAAAATTGTTCAGCTGGATATTGAATTCTTTATGACAATAATCAACTGTCTTCTGGGCTCAGTTGTTGCTGATTTGAAGTTAGCCTTTAGCCTAATCTGCCTTATCTATTACAAATTTTAAGATTTTCTATAATTTCTATGATCTAGGTTTGATTTTATTTTTTTATCCCTCTAGTATTCTTCATGTTTCTCGTATTTGAAGATTTGTGTCTTTCTTCAAATATGGAAAATCCATAGCCATTACCTCTTCAAACATCACCTCCCCCATTATTTCTGTTCACATCTTCTGGAACTCCCATTAAAAGTATATTGAACTTTCTCATCTATTCTTAGCTCATAACTTTTCTTTCATGTTAACAGAATATATATATATGTACATATATATATATATCTTTATGCTGTTTATGAGAGATTTCCTCAGATTTCTTCACTATGTTTAATCTGCATCCAACCTATCCTATGTTCCCATATATTTCATTTCTGGAATTTCTGTTTGGTTCCTTTTTAAATCAACCTGTTCCTTTTGGATACTATAATGTTTTGCTTCCTTTATCTCTTTGAATATATTAACCATGTTCATTTTATTTTTAATTTTATTTATTTATTTATGGCTGTGTTGGGTCTTCGTTTCTGTGCGAGGGCTTTCTCTAGTTGTGGCAAGTGGGGGCCACTCTTCATCGCGGTGCACGGGCCTCTCACTATCGCGGCCTCTCTTGTTGCGGAGCACAGGCTCCAGACGCGCAGGCTCAGTAATTGTGGCTCACGGGCCTAGTTGCTCCGCAGCATGTGGGATCTTCCCAGACCAGAGCTCGAACCTGTGTCCCCTGCATTGGCAGGCAGATTCTCAACCACTGTGCCACTAGGGAAGCCCAACCATGTTCATTTTTAAAGTTTCATGTTGTTCTATTATTCCTAATTCTTGGATGAGGACTCTCCCATTTTTTTCATTTCATTTGCTGAACCCGCCTCATGATGGTTGGCTTCCTCATGTGATTTGTAAGTTTTTGCAATGAGCGCATCCTTGGCCAGGGTTATTTGTAGTGGAGGTCCAGTGTTCCCTGTCCTGTTGAAGCCTCCCTCCAGGGTGACTTTGCGTTTGCATCTGAGAGTTCTGTGGGCTGCACTGCTTCCAGGTTACTCAGCTTCGCTTCAGGTCCTTATAGGTCCTTATACCGTATGAGGGCTATGAATTTGGGCCACGTACCAGTATGGGGTCCCGGCCTCGGGCTCCAATTTTTTTTCAGGTGACTATTTCTACCCAAGTTGCCAGGAGATGACAAATTATTTTGCCACTTTTGCAGGCCAACAGGTAGTTTTACTTGTCCATATTTTGTAGCTAAGATAGTACTTTATTATCTTAGTTTTATGCAGGTAGCTTTACTTCAGCTCCCCACACTCATGGGATTTGTGATTTAGACTCTCTCCTCTCTGCGCCAGTATTAAAACTCTAGCCCCAAGGCCTATATCTGGTTCTGAAACCCCAGGAACTCTCTCCGCTTCAGCTCACCTGTATGATTTTGAGTTTCCTCTCTTTTTCTGACACCTGGGTTAGCTTTCTTCCTTTCTTCCTTTCCTTCTCTTTTTCCCCTCCTTCTTCCCTCCCTCACTCCCTTCCTTCCCCTTCCTCTCTCTGACTCTCTTTCTTACTTCCTTAGTGCAGCCTGATTTAATGTTTTGTTTGTTTCATTTTATCCCGCATTTCTGTGTGTTTGGAACAGGAAGAAAAATTCTTCCACATCAGCTCAGCCTGTCATGTTTGCTGATATAATCTTAAAATATATTAAATATTAAGACAAGAGTGTACTTACTACATTAGAACAGTGCCTGATATATATACATCGTTATGTAAGTGATAAGTACTTGACAATAGCTAGCTTTTATTAAATACTTACTGTTTTCTAAGAATTGTTCTGAGCCTGTATGTGTCTTTACTCATTTACTCCTTAATTTTACAAGGTTGGTACTATATTCACACACATTTTCAAATTATATTATTCTTATTTTATAGATGAAGAAACCAAGACACTGGAATACCAAGCAACAGGATTTTGAACCTAGACAGTCTGGCTCCAAGCTCGTCAGCTTTATTAAGATTTAGCTTTAATAAAATTAAGTCTAGATTTTGATTCGTTTTGACAAATGTATACACAGTCGAGTAACCACTACTACAATCATACTATCTCTTAGAACAATTCCATCACCCCAAAAAGTTCCCTTTACCCGTTCGTAGTTAATCTCCTCCCACAGCCTGTCACCCCTAGCAAACACCAATCTGTTTTCTACCACTGTAATTTTGCCTTTTCTAAAATTTCACGTAAGTAGAATCATACAGTGTCTGGCTTCTTTTACTTAGCATAATGCTTCTGAGATTCCTTCAGGGTATTGCAAACATTAGTTGTCCGTTACTTTTAATTGCTGAGCAGTATTCCACTGAATAGATATACCACATTTTGTTTATCTTTTACCAGTTAACGGATATTTGGATTGTTTTCAGTTTGGAGCTCTTACAAATACAGCTGCTATGAATGTTCACATACAAATCTTTAGATGGATATATATCTTCATTTCTCTTGGGAAAATATCTAGACATGGAATTACAAGATTACATGGTAAGTATATGTTTGACTTCTAAGAAACTGTCCAACTGTTTTCCGAAGTGGCCATACTAGTTGCAGTCCCACTGGCAAGCAGTCTATGAGAGTTCTAGTTGCTTCACGTACCCCTCAACATTTAGTACTGTTAGTCTTTTTAATTTTCTCCTTCTAGTGACTATGTTGTGATATCGCATATGGTTTCTATTTGCAATTGTCTAATGACTATGACATTGAGCACTTCTCCTAAGTTTATTTGGCATCTGTAAATTTTTGGGAAAGTGTCTATTCAAATTCTTTGCCCTTATTTTAATTGAGTTGTTTATATTTTATAAATTGCAGTTATTTTGTATATATTCTGAAAATAAGTCCCTTATCAGACATATACTTGGCAAATATTTTCACCTGTCTGTGCAAAGCCTGTACTCTTTACCACTACTTATATTTCTCCTCAGTATTTATCGAAATGATTGAGGAATTTCCATAGGGCGATGGCCCCTTCCTACCCCTACCAAAAACTGCAGCTTTTGCAATTAATAAGGGATAAAGGAATCCTGTTGACATGTTTGTTTGAAGACCCAAAGTTCACATTTTCACTACTAATTGAATCTTTTCTGTTTTGCTACAGAACTAAACTGCCTTCTCTTGGATTTGAAGAACTGATGAGATCATAGCTGCGATTACCTCTGAACTCTCTGTCTTTACAATCCATTGAAAATGATTAGACACGTCTCTGCTATATAAACACTGTCCTGGGCAGATTGTCTTAAGGCGTCCTGTTTTTCATTTACCAGTTTTTTCCTTATGGAAAAAGACAGTTTCCAGCAGTTAGAACTAGAAAAGGGTAGACCTTCCAAAAGGAGGACTCCCAAAAGAGTTATCCATTTTGTTGATGGTGACATCACGGAAGAATATAGCACAGAGGAAGAGGAAGAAAAAGAGGAACAGAGAACAAATTCAACACTTGATCCTGTAAGCTTAGAATATCATTATTAGCGAACATGGGGGCTGAGTGAATGCGAAATTAAGGCAGATGAGGTTTGTGGAAAACACAGTTTTAAGCTAATTCCTTGCTCTCCTTGGTTTGCTTTCTACAGCCAAGTACAATCAACTTATAATTTTGATAATCTTAGGTTTCTCATCTATGAGAGAAAATGGAACCTATTACGAAGCATTTTGAAACGTCTACACTGCAGACTCTGCAGTCACCACTCCTGTTATTAATTTATGCTGATTTGGTTTCTCTTTTTTTTGCAGTCTAAACTTTCATGGGGGTCCTACCTATGGTTTTGGGCAGGGCGAATAGCAAGGACCTCATTTTCTAGTAAGTACTGCTAAGGTTATTTTTTTCTGTCCTAAATATAGACTTACAGACCCTCAGAGTTAGATGGGACTTCCAGTGGTTTAATCCACTCCGTGGCATTCTGAAGAACTGGTCGCTTCCATATCTACACTTGAACATTCCCGAAGGCATAGAACCTCACATCTTCAGGCAGACCCTGCCATCTTTTCTCAACCCTTTTTAGTAAATTCTATCTTCTATTCTATCTTCTTTTAAAGTCCTTCCCATTGATCCTAGTTGTCTTTTTAAAAGCCAGACAACACCAGTCCAGATTCCTCTTTCATAGAATTTCAAATATTTGAAGACAGTCCTCCCTGAGGTGACTCTTCACCTGAATAAACTTCCAAGTTTTTCCTTTTTTCAACTGTAACCTGACACAGTTCCAAGTTCCCTTTTCATAATCACTCTATTATAAACAATTTTAGTGATCCCTCCCAAGGACATAATGAATAGCCTAAGTGGCTATTTACAAGAGACAAAATACTAAATCTTATTTTGTTTGACTTTCATCAATTTTTTAAAAATCACAATTGGCAACATGTAATTACTCATTTCCTTCTAACTTGCATATGCTTGTGTATGTGATGGGGGGAAACAACTTTAAGAATCTGAGAAAATATAAAATATAGCTCTTAGGAATTGATCTTCATTCATTCATTCAGTAAACATTTATTGAGTACTCATGTATGCTCAGCACTGTGCAGGACCCTGGGACACAAAGACAAATGACAGTCTTTGCTTTCAGGGGCCTTAATATTCAATGGGTAATATAGGCCGGTAAACATGCCCATGATGATAATTTGTTGTTACAACCTCCATGGCAGGAGGAGTGTAGGGACTATAGACTGGGATACTTGATCAAGGTGGAAGGTTTGTAATTTGGAAGTTACTTTAGAGACCCAGGTGAATACTGACCTTACCTCAACCAAAATATGTTGGCAGAAGAAATGCTGCCTTCCAGAGACTTCTATGCTTTAGTTAGGGCAAGACTGTTTGAAGAGGTGAAATATTTTGGAGGGAGGGAGCCTTAGAGATTAGATCAGGTAAAAGAAGCAAAACTCAGTACAGCAGTATGAGCGTGTGAAGGAGAACAGGGACTACAGTGATTTCTATGTTGGGCTTTGACTTCAGATGACAGGGGCAGGACACACAGGGAATCAGTCTGCCTTCAGGGTTCCAAATGGAACTGTAGCCTGAAAGGGCTTCTGCCGGGGGCTTCCAGATTGTAGTGAAGGCATAAATACGCTAACAGTCTGATCTTTACACAGAGACTTTGGTTAGAGCTGGAACCCAGACGACACTGGTAATTAATTTTTTCCATGTAAGATTCTAGTAGGTCATAAACAGGAAAACTTCCTGAGATTTATTCTAATGTTTTAGAAACTTCTCTTATGCACATGTACTAGGCACTGTGGCAAACAAACAGATTACAGAGCTAGAGTATTTTTGAAAGGATAAAGCACATTAAAAAAGAATAGACAGCATCATTTTGATGCACTGTATGAGCAATTTCTTCAGAAGTGGAATGAATCATGGGAATCAGAAAGTCCTATAAGGGGGGGAGGCACATCAGAAGTCCTATACTTTTACAGGAGAACATCTCTAGGAGAGACCTTTTTGGAAACCCCTCATTATTCATGCTAAACCTTTATCCCTAACTCTAACAATTCCTGAGGCTGCAGGCCACCTTGATATTGTAACTGAAGGCAGACAAGGAAGGTCTTAAATTGCTGCTAGGAAGGAGTTTGTTTTGATGCACGGAAAAGTTTCTGACATGGGTCTCGGTAACATGGGATTTAATTTGGGGTATACTTTGCAACATACTCACAGCTGATGATCAGATGATACACATGGGGATAGGCAACATCTGTTCTGATTGCTCGGGACCTGTACCTGTTATTAAGTATTTTGAAAATCTCCCCTGATATATTCATCTGGAAAGGATAGTTTACATGTAATCCTATGTGAAGACAGAAGATTTAACAAATTCCCTTTGAGTCCTAGGACTTTTTGAGGGTCTGGAGCAATTGAAATCTTTTGTCAGCCTTGAAGTTAAGTATAGTAATAGGCCATTTGAGGGCAAGTTGAAACTTGAGTTTAAGCTTTAATTATTATTATTATTTTTTTGCGGTACGTGGGCCTCTCACTGTTGTGGCCTCTCCCGTTGCGGAGCACAGGCTCCGGATGTGCAGGCTCAGCGGCCACGGCTCACGGGCCCAGCCGCTCCGCGGCATGTGGGATCCTCCCGGACCGGGGCACAAACCCGCGTCCCCTGCATCGGCAGGCGGACTCTCAACCACTGCGCCACCAGGGAAGCCCTAAACTTTAATTATTAATTCAGTTTACCAAAGCGTTTTTCTTTCTTCTAGCATGTGAATTCCTTGGTGGAAGATTTGCTCTCTTCTTTGGTCTTAATCAACCCAAATACCAGTATGTGTTAAATGAGTACTATAGAACACAAAATAAGGTATGTGACATCCCGCTGGGGACACCAAGAGCCCTGAGATGGGAATGTTGGTTGTTCCTGATTTGGGCCCTTACAGAGGAGTATTTTCCCACCTGGTAATTCATGTAACTGCAGTTTCACTGAGCTCCCATGGTCAGACTGACTTCTTTTTCCAATGCCTCTCACCCCATGATGCTGACTCGTATTTGCCTCTCTTGTGTGAAGTTAGAAGGTCCTGAGATAGTTCGTAGATGGTAGTCGAGTGTGAAGCCTGAGATCGCATAAAGGGGAGGCTTCTTATAAGGCTGTCTCTATAAGAAGGGGAGATCAGAGGTATTGGGTTTACTGTTAAACATTTCCTTATTTCTCTCTGTATCAGGAAAGTGACAAGGAAAGTGAAGGGAATGGATCAAAGGCCCAACCAGCCAATGTTCCCAATGAAAAGTGTCACCTGGAGGCTGGGGCCCGAGAGTATGGAACGAGACAACAGGACATTGCCGAGGGCATTCCTCAGTGGAGTATCTCATCCAGCGAGGGCCTGATGGCAGATTCCAGCTCCTAATGGGCAGCGGGGCTATAGTTCCCCTGGATCTCTCGTCCTCGGTCATTGATTACCACGGCAACAGCACTACAGGTAGCTCTTCTGAGCCAGATCTGATCTCAATCTCTTTGTGATTTATTCTCCAGCAGCCAGGAATTGTAAACAATCATAAGAACAACTGTGGATTCTTTCTCAATGTAAATTTTTATTTATAAGCCCAGCAACCCAACTCCACCCCAGTGATATAAGTCCTGTCCGTCAGTTGTGGGCTACTAGTATTGACATTTGCACAGTAGTATAAATGCCTTAAGGAACTTGGGCACAGGAGTTTTAGGCTGAAACTCTTTGTCACATGGTGAGGGTATAGAAAAGGACCCTCTGTTCCTCAAAAGAAACTTTGGGCATTATGAAGTCTAAATCCTTTCAGGGTTTGACATAAGCCGTGTCCTTCGCAATAGCTATGTTGGCTTACTTGGGGCTTGCTTTGCAATAAGCAAACATTGCTAATAACTCTGTTTCAACATAGCAGTCTTTGAGAGTTGGGTGCATTTCTCCCCAAACACGTCAAAAATAAATAAACAAACAATCTAAGCTCTAGAAAAAGTATTTGGAAAAAGTGAATGATTCTCTCATTTACTTGTCAACAAATTTTCAAAAACTGTAAAGATCAGACATGGAAATCATAGCTGGATAACACAGGTTGCTCTGGCCAAAGGTAGCTGTGTTATAGAAAAACACAGGTTTTGCAGTAAAAAGACCTGAGTTCAAGTCTCAATTCTGCTTTTTACTAGTCGTGTGATTTTAGGTGTCTAAATTTCTGAGCCCCAGTCTCTTTCTTTGTAAAATAGGGGTGGCATTTATTTGTTTCTCAAGGGTTACTGTTAAACGAAATGAACTAATAAATGCGAAAATTCTTTTAAAACTGTGAATATTAGTTGTTAATGCTTAATTAATGGCTGTTATAGACTTATATTGAAGGTCCCCAAAGAACTATGCCTTCTGGAATTCATGTCCTCACATAGCCCCATCTACATTGACTCTGGCCTTGGCTATGTTACTTGCTTTGGCCAGTGAGATAGTAAGTAGCAAATGTGATGCAACTGGATGCTTGATAAACACTTGCACCGGGGACTTGTCCTCTTAGAAAGCTTTACGTTGTAAAGAAGTTTGCGCTAGCCTTCTGAATGATGTGAGGCCACGTGGAGAGAGGACCCCAAGGATGAAAGACCATCTTAGGCATTCCAGCCCCAGCCATGCTCCCCAGCAAATGCAGCCACATAAGTGAACTTCTCCTGCCCTATGTGTAGCAGATAAACCATGCAGCTGAGACCAATCAGCCAACAGAGTCATAAGAAACAGTAAGTCATTTTAAGTTGTGGAGTGGTTTGCTATGCGGCCATATAAACTGAAATAATAACTCTAAGAGGATGGGAAGTTGGAATTGATTTGATATGAAATCAAGGACAGAAGTAGGCCTAGAGAATAACGTGTGGTTAGTTGAATACATGAGGATAAGATAGGTTATCCGGCATAAACAGACAACTCCAAAATCTCAGTGGCTTAAAACAACAAAAGTTTCTTTCCTTCTCATGGGAGGTCCACCATCAGTTCAGATGGCTTCCCACCATGTTCTCCAGGTGCTGGCTCAGTAGCACATGCTCCTTTGATCCTATGGTTCCTCCAAACTGATGCTCTCAGGGCTGCAGAAGCAGAAGTGAAGTGGATAGGTAAGCACTGTCTCCACTAAGAATGAATCATGTCACCTCTGCTTATGTTTCTTCCACCAAAGCAAGTCACAAGACTGCAATTAACTTTTAGGGGTGTGGACCTCCTTAGATAGCTGAGAAAGGGAAACACTTTCTTCCAGTGGTATAAGGGATAAATTATAAGCTGAAAAGTCACTGCGATACTGGTTTGATCTCCGCTCGGCTGCCTCTTTCTAACCTGGTAGCCCAGGTTACTCAAATTCTCAGTGTTCCCATGTGTAAAACAGGTTTGATGCAGGAATCAAATCCATTTTTTTTTTTGCGGTACGCGGGCCTCTCACTGTTGTGGCCTCTCCCGTTGCAGAGCACAGGCTCCGGACGCGCAGGCTCAGCGGCCATGGCTCACGGGCCCAGCCGCTCCGCG